TTACTGTATTACTGTTAAGAAGGCCTTTGGCAATCTTGGATTACTGGCCGGTTACGGTGCTAAACCCATAGGGGCGGGTTTGGGTCGTGACAATAAGCTCAATACATATAAAGCGCTTGGCTTGAATAAACATTTAAACATCTAAACGACAAATAACATAATAAAGTCTCCAACTCCTAAGTCCTCCCAAGCTACGTCTTCGAAGGGAGCATGACACTCATACCTGAAAATGGTTTCCTAAGTAGGGTGAGCCAAAGCCCAGTAGAGATAGACTAACATAGTATATGAGGTTTAACTAAGATATAAGTGCTAGATAAGTATTCCACATTCATAACCAACTTACTTTCTTCCCATGACCTTTCAATACTAATACCCATAATTTGATCCATTTCCAACGATTCGTTTCATATTAATTCAATTAATTCCAAGTCAATTCATGAAACAAGCTCATTGTTATCTAAATAATCCAAAATGAGGCTACAACTCAGTGATTCACAACTCAATACTACTATTATTTAAACACTTCAATTTTGCCATTTAACGGAATTTTCATTCGAGGGAACCGACACCCATATATGCACAAGATATGAAGTATTGCCATTTTACGGAATTTTCATCTGAAGGAATCGGCACCCATATATGAACAAGATTTCAGGATTTTTACCCTAGACACTCTGGTCAATTTAATTATGAATGGAGTCCATTCCTTATCTCCTTCCAAATAATGATACATATACAATGTATTTAAAAACATTATCGTATGCAATGACTATTCACAATACATATTCAATGTTTTACTTACACCGTTATATTCAATGACATAATTCAATTGATTAGTTTCAATTCACCTAATCCACATACAATTTCTACAACAATCATGACTATCCTCCACCGATAGCCCCAAACAAATATTTATAAACAAATATATTATTTATCAATAGATAAATTATCAAATTTTCCATAGGTGAGTGATTAAACAAATCTAAATACACCATTCATTCACACAACTTCCCAATTTCATATTTCTCACACCAATTCCATTAATTATACCAAATAATTATTTAGCTCATACTAGGGCAAATTTCCCCCTTTCTCCAATACTAACCCAAAGGTCAAATTTACCTATTTTAACACAAAACCACCTCTTATCCCAACCCCACGGTCAAATATACAACAACACATAGAAACCCCTCTTTCATAAATTTGAATCTAAACCTTAGGTTTTCTCCAAACATTCCAAATCTCACCATGTTTTCATAACAATGAATAACTAAGTTAAAATTCATAACAAAGTGTAGAACATCCCTACCTCAAGTGTAAAAGCTCAAAAGAGAAGAAGGAGATCCTCAAAGATGACCAAACTCGATTTTGCTTGGATGAAATAGAAGCCCACACAATGCTTTATCTTTTTAATAAAGGGACTAGGGTTGAGAGAACCCCAAATCAATGTGTATTTGTAGAGAAAGGGAGTGTTTTAGAGAGAGAGTGTGTCGGATTAGGGTTTTGGGATGAAAAGAAATCAAAAAGTGAACTAAAAATATCTCTGCTGTGAACTGATATACGCGGTTTTCGCTTAAGCGAAGAAGTTGTCGCTCGAGCGACCAGACACAACAAATGACCTCGCTCGAGCGCAAGAAGCGTCGCTCGAGTGCAGAACACAAAGCTTCGGGTCTGCCATAGACAGACACGCACGCTTGAGCGCAACAAGCCTCGCTCGAGCGAAGGAACAAATAACACAAGCTTGCTCGAGCGCAAGAAACCTCGCTCGAGCGAAGAACTCCACCATCCTTAGAAAAGCTGCGTCTGGAAAGAAACCTGAGAACTCCTAATTCTCGCTTGAGCATAAGAAACCTCACTCGAGCGAAGAAGCAAATTACAAAAAGCTCGCTCGAGCGTAAGAAGCCTCGCTCGAGCGAAGATGCCAAAATCTGGGCAACAACAATCTAAACCAATTAACAACCAACCTGTTCTAAACTCGCCCAACAAGTTCCAAAACTCGAATACAAAGAGTCAAAGGGGAAAAACAAGACATAGATATAATATTCAATCACAAAACCCGAGTCTAGAATACCTCAAAGGTCGGGTCAAAACCCAGAATCGCTATAAAAAAATTAGAAATTTCAGTTTGAGATACTGGAGCTCCCACAATATTTGTGGTTAGAAACCCCATTTTATTTATATAATAGATAGATAGATAGATTTAATAAGAATTTATATTTGTTTTACATATTTTTTAATATACAAAATTATTTTTTTTAGATTTTTTATAAAAATAATTTAACAATCTCATCATTAATCATAATGTATGGGAAAAGTGTAGCAGTAGGTATGGAAAAAGTTAAAAAGGCTTACAGGTTGGGAGAAGTCAATAAATGTTGAGGTTTTCTTTTTTTTTTAAATCAAAAAATTACAAATTAAGATTGGGATATTGGAACTCCCACAACTCTTGTGGGTTAAAAAAATGAAAAAAAAGAATTACAACTTTCAACCTTAATGAAACTAGTGTTTCTCCCATGTTTATAATTATTTGTATATATGTGAATTGCGATTTTTAAATGTCTTTTTTGTTTTTTTCACACAGAAAAATAAATATAACAAATGCAACATATTTTCAATCAATTATTTTATGTTTGCTTTTATTCAAAATTTAAAAATAATGTATGGGCAAAATTTATAACTAACTTGAGGAAAAATGTATTCTTAACGACATTTTTTTTACTTCTATATAAATACTTAATAAAATAAATCTGAAAAAGGTAGTCAATATAATGTTATACATTAAGTAAAAAATGTGATTAGCAATTATACTTACATAAATTTACTATAGTTTTAATTTCAAATTAAAAAAAAAACTATTTTAAAAGCATTTTATTTAGCTAGTACCAAATAGAATTTTCTTAGCAAAAAGAAAAGTCATAAAATTTTATTGTAAATTTTCAAATGTCTATTGTTAAACATTCTATTCTACTTGCTTGCTTTGAGAGTTTTGATCTTTCACCTTTGCTCCACATATATCGTATTGTTTTATTTATTTTTCTTCTTCTTACTTGATTTTTGCATGATACTTGTTTCACAGTGCATCTCCGAGTGTATTAGTAAAAACATCATACACTTAAAATGCACAAAATTACAATATATAGAAAAAAGAAAAAAGAAAAAAGTAAGTAATTGCCTAAAACTAAAACTACTTTAAGAAAAAATAAAAAATAAAATAAAAATTGTTTGAAATAAAAAATGATTTACTTATTTATTTATTAATTTTTAAAAGTAAACTTTTAAAGAAAACAAAGAAAACTATATAAAAAAGTATAGAAACCAAACATAAAATATAATACAAAAAATAAATGAATTATAGGATTTTCAAGAAGTGAGATTCACAAATAAATTTTGTAAAATCTTGTCTATTCATATACTTTTTGTGTTTATTTTTTGTATTTCTAATCTCGAAAATCACATTGAAATAGTCTATATTTCTTGCATTAGGTCCATTTAATAGCTTTAGCAAACATAAATGTAATAAATTTCATAACACAAAACACAAACAATTGTGAGACAAAATATCTAAGAAAATAAAAGCAATGTTCAATGATGATGTAGAAACACACCCGGCGTTTTAATTGGAAATATAACTAGATAAATTGCCATAGAAAAGGAAGATAACTTTTATTTTTCATCACAACAATTACTTATCTCATTATATAATTTTAATGTTGCTCACTCTTCCACACGTCCAATTCTCTATCAATATTAAAATGAATGCATGAACCAAAAAAAGGAAACATTTGAGAAAACAAAGAGATGTGGTTCGAGACTTTTCAATTGCTAAATTCTATTAATTAATAGTTATTAGGCTTCAATGGTTGAGCTTCTAATATTTGTTAGTCATTAAAGTTGAGTTATTTGATTTCATCTATATTCACTTGATAATTTGAGAGCGGACACGTGTTAAGTTTTTACACAAACACTTGGCACATTTTTTGAGCATTAAATAACAACCGAATTTATTTTGCTTCATAAACCCCCTAAAGAGAAAAGACATAATTGAGTAAGAACAAAGTAGAATATATATATATATATATATTTTTTTCTTGGATAATATTGCCAGAGTAGCATGCTATTGTGAATCAGACTAACATATTACTATTAGACAAAGTAACATGTTACTGTGAGACAAAATAACATGTTACTGTTATTGTTTATATCAATTTCAACGCTAATAATTTTATTTATTTTTTTTAAGAATTTCACAGTCAACATAGATCTTAATTGATAGATCTTGATAAGAGAATTCTAAAAATACTAATTTTATTACAAACTGACATCTACATCAAAAGTTATATTATATTAAAGTTTAATATTTTGATAATAATCATATGTTGGACTTTTTAAGGAATTTTTTTTTTTATACTTGTCCTTAATGTATTAAAGTTTTATTATGAGGAGGTTTTGACCAAATCCTCCAAAAAAGTTTGGGAATTTGGAGAAGTTAATAAATGTTAAGTTTTTTTTTTAAATCAAAAAATTAAAAAATTAAGATTGAGTCATATTTTTATTACTTTTTATTAATTAACAAACACTTTAAGAAATAAATTTAAAGGAAAATTACCTATTAGATGGAATATGAAAAAATTATTACATGTGTGTGAAAAAAATTGTAATTTTAATTAATTTTTTTTGGGAAATAATTTTAATTATTAATAAATAAATAAATTAGTCAATAGATTTTTTTAATCTATTTTATGAATTGGAAAATCAATAATTTTAGGACGGTCGTGTTAGCTAACAGATGATATGATATAATTTAATAAGTTCATTAATAACAGATGATATGATATACACATTAATATACATATTATAATTTTATAATATGTATAATAAATAAGTTCATTAATAATATCATAAAATATATTAATATGTACACTAATTGCCCACGTAGCCCTACTATTTAGCTAATATTACGGTAATATTGTCACTCTGATGGGCTGGCTAAAGGCTTCCTATTGAGCTACTCCAAGGGAAGAGGCATATTGATCGTGTAAGCTATTTTAGCTGATATTATCCTGATATTCCTACTCCAATGAACTGGCTAAATGGCTTCCTATTTTACCTCTTCCGTTCTCCGCTGGCTACAATTGGAGGGTGATTGAAGGCTCTCCAAACTCTACAGTGAAGTCTCTTCCACGAAATCGATCCTCTACATCAGCGCGAAATCGATCTTCGCCTTCAGCGTTGTCTGCAACTCCCTCCATCTGACCTCTTCCTCAAGGTATGGATCCTTCTATCTCTTTGTCTTCTCCTTCTATGTAACTCATAAACCCTTTATCTCTCTCTCTCTCTCTCTCTCTCTCTTCAACTCTTCCCCTTCCATATCTGCAAACCCCTATCTGTGAATCCTTTTTTCCCTTTTGATTTTTAGTTCCCCCTTCTATGAACCCCATTTTTACCCATCTTTGCGAAAGCCCCTTCCTAAACCCATCTTCGAACCCCCACCCATTCTTGTTCGTCTATTATCTGCATGTTATTTTCTTTGTTTTTCACATGTATGTATCTGAGATTGGTAGTCTTGTATGCTGCTGCTACAGTTGTTCAGATTTATGTATGTGAAAATATTGCTGATTTTAATTGGTTGAAATCTTATTTTTTTTCTTCATTCAATTATCGTAAGACGCTAATTTGATGGGTTTTGGGAAAGATCAAACTGGGCTTGTTTTACTTTTATCTAGTTCTTTGATTTGCAGGTTATGTTTATGGGTTTTAATTGACTTTTGAGTAAAATTTCTGTGAAATTTTTACCTATTTCCTTCAATATAGATGATGTTTAGTTTGGTGGGGAGTGTGTTACTCTATTTCCTTCAATATTTGTGTGTACTTGCAGAAGTGCATAGCTCTGTAAAGGTGTTGAATATTATCCATTGTTCATGATGAGTATATATTCTTAAATCTTACTTTGACATGTAGGAAATATTGTTGTTGCTTCTTTCTCTTCTCAATTCATCATCCATTAAAAAATTTCTTCATCCATTCTCGAAGGATAAATCTTCAAGTTCAGAGGGGGCATGATACCATGTGCCCCATCTGCCTAGTGAGTCCAACCATTCCATTTCTATCTCATCCCTGTCAGCACAGGTTCATTTTGTATATATATTTTTTTATCTTCCATTGATCATTCTTGCTTCATACAGGCTAATCACTTTTAATTGAAAGCCCAAATGGCATGGATTGAAATGATTTTAATCGCATAGTATAGGTCAAACGAATCACAGGACTGTTTTATGGGGTCGGCACTTCTATTGCATATCCTGTTTAATTATGCATTCCATTGATACAAATATATGGTAGAACATTTCAAGGATTTTACCAGAATATGCTTCATAATGACTTTGTTTAGAGCCCGTTGCAACTTTATAATATTTAAATATTTTCTGTGAAATTATAAAAGAAGTGCTGGGAGGGGTAAGACCGGAGAGTGGAGACAAAGCTAATCGCTGGCATTATTTGCAGTAGTCGTTCTCAAACTCAAATTAACTTCTTTTCTATGAAATTGTAATGCCTCTTTTTGGAACAATTGCAAGGGCAACCAGGTTAATTTAGAACTGGTTCACTTGTTTGCAACCCGGACCAGTTTCAACACTATGATTCAGTCCAGGTTTGAAGATACTCTATCAAAGTGGTGGAAAATAATATATGATTTCATCTTTTCTCGTATTTCACCAGAATAGTGTGTGGTACTGTCAATGTTCATTTATGATGCACCACCATCTCCTTTTGCCATTTTGGTTTGTGGTGAAGGATATATATTGCAACAAATGTTTTAGAATAATGTTTTCAAGTCAGCTTGGTTCCTTGAAAAACTTGTGGTTTCTTTTCTGGTAGCTATTGTTATTACTGCCTTCGAACACGGTGTTCTGCGGCTCCATCATTCAGGTGTGTAACAACCCCGACCCTTAATTAACAATAATTCATGCTTGAGTGTGCCTAATAAGTGATTAAGAAGAAATCTCGAGTTAATTGCATATGCATTGCATCATTTTGTGTTTATATCTGTTTGACGTAGGAAGATATGTTCATGTTTTAGTTTCGATTTGCAAATTGAAAGCCTTATCGGCATCTAATTCAGAATTTGACTTGGTATATGTGTTAATTGGAATTTTTAGGGCCTTATGGGAGGTTCAATTGAAATTCGATTAAGAAAGATTGAATTAAATTAATTTAATGCACATTTAATTTGTTTTAATTAATTGTCACCAAGTGAGCTCTTATAAACTCCCTACATGCTCCACGCATCTCTTTCTTGAATTGTCAACACATTTTTGAGCTTCCTCACACACACACAAACGTGGGAGAGAGAGAGAGAAGGAAGGAAATTTGAGATCAAGTTTGAGGTTTGGAAGAAATTGCTAGGAGACTTGGAGAATTACTTAAGAACATATCTAAACATAAGGAATTGAGAGCCTTAGGTAAGAATGTTTGTCTCTAGTTTTGTAATTTAGTTGATTAATGCATGAAATCGATTGTGATAGGTGAATTAACATGAGAATTGAGCTAAAGAATGGAATTAAGAATGAATTTATGTGTGCATGTGCATTTCATGGAGTTTTGAAAGTGATTTCAAAGAATTTCCTAATGCATGTCTCCAATTCACCTCAATTTTGGGAAACCATTGAGTTTATGTTGTTTTATGGTGTTTGATCATGTTTTGAGGGGCTTGAGTTCAAAGAAATTCATGCATGTCATGTTCTTGGATCATTCACAAACTTCTAGTTGAATTTTTTTGCATAATTGGCAAGCCATTGGACCATGATTTCTTGAAATGATCTTTAATTCATGTTGTTTTAAGGGCTTTCATGTATTTTCTCAAGTTTTGGCCCAGGAGAAAAAATCAGGTTTGATGCTTTAAAGGTTGAATTTGAGCTTGAAGATCAAATCTGGAAATCCTAGAATTTATATCTAGGAGCACTCTGAGTGTATGCACTTCCGCTCAAGCGACTTGATTCTCGCTCGAGCGTGAAATGCATATACCCAGAAGTTTGCATATTTTGCAGCACGCTTGAGCGACAGAGGTCACGCTTGAGCGGAGATCGAGCGTCTGTCGAGCGTGAAATGCAAGCAATCAGTACTTTTTCAAAGTTTGCAGTCCACTCGAGCGAGGAAAGTCGTGCTCGAGCGAAGCCTCACTTTCTGCATACCCACTCGAGCGAGGGAATTTACGCTCAAGCGTGGACCCTATTTCCAGCAAGTTTTGAAAAATGTTTTTAAGTGCATTTTTGCATCCTCATTCCATCCTAGGCTTTCCTAGGCCATGATTAAGATTCTATGATGAGGATAACGAGGTAGAAACACACCAAAACGAGTAAGGGCTAAGTTATCATTTATGGGTGTGTAACTCGGAATACGTTCGTTCTGTAACTGTGTAGGTCAAGTGCTACAAGAAAGTTGAATTGTCTACTTGTGACACCTACTATCTGTGAGTAAAAACTTAATAAAGTTATATTCAAATTTATGTATTTTCTGTATACGAAATAAGATCTGTTGAAAGAAATGCCATATTTTATACTATGAATGATTGTCTGACAATAACGAGCATTCATGATATTATGCTATGATTTAAGTATGTTGCAAGTGACATATATGCCACGATTCAAGTATGTTATAAGTGACATGATGTTACGATTCAACTATGCTATAAGTCCCGGACTGGAGGTTCCTTATGGAACTTGTAGCAATTCAGAATTTTTCCCTCCGCTCGAGCAAGGGAGTTGACGCTCGAGCAGACTTGTGAGGCTTCCAGTACTTTTGCAGTCTGTCCAAGATTCTGAAAGTTGTGAATTCCTACTCGAGTGTAGGAGTGGTCGCTCGAGCGGCCGGCTTTGTTGGTCTGCGCGCTCGAGCGCAAGATTGGGCGTTCGAGCGGTCTGCCTGGTTGAGTTTGAATTTCTGAAACTAGTGGGATTGTTTTTGACCTTTTATTATTATGTTTGGAGCCTCCCTGTTTTATTTTGGGACATTGATTGAAGTGGTAACATGATGGTAAAGTAAGATTGGACCAAAAAATTTAATTGCGGATAATCTTCCTACGAACAGCCGTCACTTTTTTGTCATTTTCTTTTTCCACACTTTGAATTTGGGTGTGAGGCTAGAACCATTGGAAAGTTTGTCTCCGGGGCTTCGATTTGGAGAACAGCCTAAAATGGAGTCCGGATGGGAGAGTTATACCTGTTTGAAGTTTTAGTATCTGTGCTGGAAGCAGGTACGCTCGAGCTGGAAAAGAGACGCTCGAGCGGCCTGCGCGAATTTAGCAACTTAAAAAGTAATTTTTTAGATTATTCTCTCCATTTTTCTTTTCTGTCTTCCTTTCTCTCACCCTGGGTTTGAAAACCCTTGATCTCTCGACCCAAATACCTTCCATTCATCAAAGATTTGGCCAAGATCTCTTACCAAAAAGTGAAGAATGCTTGAAGATTTCACTTTTCAACTGATTGAAATTTGGATTTGTGAAAGAACCTCATCAAAGCTTTGCTCTTTTGCTTGAATCTTAAGGTAGGGGTCCTAGTTCTTCTTCAATACTTGTATTTATAGATAGATTTGTGGTATTTTGATTATATAAATACAAAATTTCCATTTTTGAAAATATAGTGTTATATCATGGAATTTGAGGGTTTAGGATTTGAAGTGTTAGGGTTCAAATGTTGGTTTAAGATTGTGGATTATGAATCTTAGGTGTATAATCAATGAAAAATTTGGAATAAAAAGTGGTGGTGTGAGAAGTTTTAATTCTTCTTGAAAACCTTAATTTTTCTTGAAAACCCTAAGTTGATTCATGATGACAATTAATGATTATGCCCAAATTGAAAGTAGAATCATGAAATTGAGAGGTTAAATTGTATATGTACAAGTTTAATTAAATTTTAGAAGTATTTGAAAATTATGTTAAAAATTAACGATTGAACCTTTATTATGGATGTTGTAAATCATGTTATAATATGAAATGAAATTTGAAGAAAAAGATTTGTTAATGATATGGATGGCATGAGACTTGGGATGAAAAGATGAAATGGGGATTTAAGAGTCCACCTTGAATTATGTTGAATCACATTTAGTGGTGTTGAATTGAATCATGTTGAATAGTGTTGATTATGTTGAATTGTGTTGACTATGTTGAATTGTGTTGAATTAAGTTGAGTTGTGTTGAGTTGTATTGAGTTTGGGATGATATTTGGAAAGAAAAAAAGAAGGGGAGTTTTGCCCTAATTGGATCAAATTGTTATTTTGTATAAATAATTGAAATTGTCATTGTAAATGTGAAATTGGAGGATTTTAATGATGATGGTGGAGCTTGATATGCATTATTGCTCCCATATGAGATTTTGGAAAAAGCATATTCTTAAAGAAATTTATTTATCTATTTAGATATATTTGTTTTAGGCTATCGGTGGAGGATAGCTATGATTGTTGTAGAAATTGCATGTTGACTAGGCAAATCAGACTATTTATAAATCATGCATATCATGGAGCATGCAATGGATTTTGAGGATTTAAACTGTATGTTTTGGAAAGAGATTTTGGAAATTCTTGTGTTATGTTTTAAGAGCACTTGTTTCGTTTTGAAAATCTTGTTTTGGATCACATGTATTGTGCTAGTTGAAAAGAGTCAATAATATGATAAGTCTGAGAAATATTGAATATGACTGTGTGTTTTAATACATTGTATATGTATGATTGTTTGGGAGGAGAAAGGGGATGTACTTCATATGTGATTATGTGATTAAATACATTGTATATGTATGTTTGTTTGGGAGGAAAAAGGGGATGGACTCCATTATAACTAAGTTGGCTGGAGTGTCTTGGGTGAAAGTCCCGAAATTTATACATGGGTGCCGATCCCGCGGACGAAATTTTCGTAAAATGGCAGTTTGAAGTGTTTATGTGTATTTTGTATGATTGGGAAAACCACTGAGTTGTAGTTTCAGTTTGGTTGTTGTGAAATAATGAAATTGACTTATGAATTGAGAAGAATAAATGAATTGAAAATGAACTGAAGGAAAATGGATTAAGGATTGAAATTGACATCATGTGGGTAATTGGATTAGGGGCTAGTGATGATGAACTCAATGGATTGCTTGTGACAAAAGGGAATATTATGAGTTTTGTTTTGTAAGTAATTGGGAAATTGAATTAAAAAAGGGTTTGTGATTCTTGTGTTATGTTGAACTCTAATCCTTTGGATTTTGATGTTATGGAGTATGGTAATTGGAAATGGAAATGAAATGTGTAATATTAGAATGAAAATAAAATGTGGAATATTAAAATGGAAACGAAATGAGGAATAATTTGGAATTGGATTGATAAATTTAAGATGATGTTCTTCCTTAAGTGTACTTGTTTTCAAAGAGAATCTATGGCTTTCTAATGATGAGAGACTACATTTATGGCAGGGAGTTTTCTTAAAGGTTCAAGTGAAATATTAAGAAAAGATAGTTTTTGTATAATATTTTGAACTTACAAAGTGTCACCTTACTATATGGTATCACTCTGTATGCATGATCATTTCTATCTATGTGTTAGCTATTGTTGTAGACCTATAAGATTCCTATTCGGCATTAGTGCTCACCCCTCGTTGTTTTATTCTTTTTCAGGAAGAGAATTTCAGATTCATTAGTTGAAGAGTATGGATTCCATGTACCTTGTGTATAATTTTAGCATAGATGTTAAAGGAATGAAAAATGTATCATGTGGTTTGTAATTATTTATTTGTAGCTTCACGACTGAAGCTTGGCATGTATTATTGCATTGTTGTTTTCAATGAGAGAGAGAATATGTATTATTGTATTTCTATTACTTAAGGGTAATAGATATATATATATATAATTATAATAAAAAAAAATGGATCTAAATTACAGGCTTTAGTAATGTTTTCGATTAATCAAAATGCCGGGGCGTGACAGAACTGACAAGCTATCTGTACTCAGCTGGAGGTTCCTAAGTGGAACTGACAAGTTTACAAGTTCTCAGTCCGGAGGTTCCTATATGGGACTGACAAGTTATCCTTACCCAGCCGGAGGTTCTTCTATAGAACGGACAAGTATGATTTAAGTCACTCTGTGTGCGATCTATAGCACTAATGGATGTAATATGCAAGATTAAGTATGGACTTTGACTTTTGTATACATGCTCAGAACGAAAATATGAATGTGAATTGTTTTATTTCAGCTACGACTATAGGACATCATTCATATACTCCTTTACTTTGTTATTATTCACTGGGCCTCCGTTCACTAGTTATTTATTATGTATGTAGGTGAGCAGGTGCGTGACCAGGCTTAAGTTAATGTCTAGGGTATTTTTGTGTTAGTCAGCCACCTTTTGCGCCTCACGAGGAGGTTCTAGATCAAGTCATGTTTTGTGACTATGTTAATGTAAATGTGCAAGATTGTTCCTTTGTTTTATGAACAAGTTCCCCTTTTGTTTGTACTTGATAGCGACGTGTAAATGTTGTACCTATGACGTCACTCGTATGTTTATAAAGTTTAAGATTTTCCAGTTCCATGTATGTTTGCACAGCTCAAAGGACCATGTATGTTTCTTTATGCGCTTACTTCCGCAGCCCCTAATCTCAAGTCAAGTCTTTAAGAGGCCTTTGGTAATCTAAAGATTACTAGCCGATTACAACGCTAAACTTATAGGGGCGGGTTTGGGTCGTGACAAGGTGCTCCAGATGCAATGAGCTAGTTATTATCGTGCAACGGCATGGTGGCTTAATCAACAGTGACACTCAAAAACAATAATTCCACAGGGTTGGAAATGGGAAAATATAAGGCAAGGAAACAATTGCATTGTTGTATAATAAATGCCCAAATGTGGCATTACCATTCAATTAAGAAAGCAAGATTCCTTGAAAAGCATTTCTCCCTTTATATACCGTAGCTTTCATTCTTTGGAAACTTTACACAATTGAAAGTTGCAGTTTTTTGAATGTATCTCTCTTATTGCTTGTTGGTTCTTTTCTTTCTAATCTAGATTATTTTGGCTCATTTGAAAGTTACATTTGACCTCCTTTTTGTCCAACTTAAGTGTTCCTTCTGTTGGCTGGAGCAAAATGAAATCAGTGCCAAGTCCTTGTGTTTGGAGGTCATTGATGTTCATTATTAAATGAAATTGTTTGTATCTAATTGCCCTAATATTACCTCTGGTTTGACTTTAAGCATGTTAGGGTGCACCTTCAAAACATATGATTTGAGTATTTTCTTGCTCTAATCAAATATCCTTCTCTTCTTTCTTACAACAAGGATACTCTCTGTATCCTGGTAAGAGAGTAATGATTCTGAACTTGATCTTATTGGTTATACCCCCTTGTAAAGATTGTTATATTATTAGATTATCATCAAGTAGGTCTACAACACCTTCAATTTTGTAACTTTGCATGATATTGCCATGCTCTTAATGATGTAATATGTGTAGTGAATGAAATTTGAATAATTAGGGCTTTGACTCTTGCATATCTGTGTAGTGATTTGGTTTTGTTTCTGTGTGGTTCTCAAATGCAGGAAAATTATTCTCTTATGGTGTGTTTGGTTGAGGGATTTCGGAAGGGATTTGGAAAGGGAAATGGAAAAGGTGTGTGAAACTATGTGAAATATAGGCATGATTTATTCACATTTTACCTACCTTTTCCATTTTCCTTTCCAAATCCCCCTCCAAATCCCCCAACCAAACACAGCATTAAGAAACAATATCATTTTATTTTGCATAAAGCAATTAGAAATTGATGTATCAGCTGAATTGGTCTATATTAATTTCACATAACATACATTTTATTAAAAAAAATTAAATATTAGTTAAAAATTAATTATTATAATATTTTTAAAACTAATATTAAAAAATATTATCGCAAATGTCACATTGACAACCATATTAGCATTTTGATGCGTATGTGGCATTCTATGAAAAATTCAATATATAGATATAGCATTTTTTATTTTGAAAATTGGTTAAGTTAGTTTGAATGACTAATTAAAATAAGAGTATGGTTGGAACATACAATAGCTAAACTAATTATGTAAAATAAATAGTGTACCTTTTTTATACTTTAGCTAGTGAAAAATAAAGAGTGTGGTTGGAGTTGCTCACCTCTTGCCTTCTCCGCTGGCTTCAATTGGAAAGTGATTGAAGGCTCTCCGAACTGTCTCTCTCTTGAAATCGATCTGCTCCTTTTGCGCGAAATCGATCATCTCCTTTAGCGCGAAATTGATCTTCTCCTTTAGTGTTGTCTGCAACTCCCTCCATCTGACCTCTTCCTCAAGGTATGGATCCTTCTATCTCTCCGTCTGCCCCTTCTATGCAACTCATAAACGCTCTCTCTCCAAGAAAAGTAATCTGCAACCCTGGAGGCATCCAATCTGATTAAAAATTTCGTATTTAATCTCATATTTATGCCATATGGAGTGTAGACAACTTGAATGCAATGCAGATCTTCCTCTATATAATGTAAAACATCAAAGTCCAGACCAAAATTATGCATCCGAATTTAAAACAGTGTCAATATACTGTTTACACCCGTCTGAAAGACTAACTTATCAAAGGCATCTGATTTAATGAAAGTTAAAAAACTCCTCACAATGGGGACTAAATGCCTTTCCTTGAATAGAGATGATGTTTAGTTTATCAATTTTACTTTCAATTATCAGAAATCAGGACATAGAGATAAAATTAGTTTATGAATCAGGACCTGCAAATCATTGGTCAGCGATTTCAATGTTTTTAGTTTATGAAATAGGTCAGAGATAATATTATTAGATTTTAGTTTTTAGTTTATGTCATAAACTTTTAGTGTTTATGTCCTGAATTTCATAAACTAATGTTGGCCATGTAACCTACAAATCATTGGTCAGTGATGGGATGGATAAACTAATGTTTACTTTCAATGATTAATCAAATGGAATTTTGTGTTTTGATGTTCAGATTGAGTCCTCAGTTGATGGGTGAGTCTGAGAGATTGTTGGGTGAGGTTTTTTGCAAGAAAATTTAAAGCATGAATAATAAATGTGTACATTTCAGAACCTATCAGTGACCTTGTGAAACCATGTAATATATGGTGTAACAACAACCTGTATAAACTCTTGCCATGGCATATGATTGAAAATGTACACCATTTTTGGAACTTACAAACCAATATTTGTCTGAAGTTTTTCTGCAAGATACAATAGATGAAAATAATTCACCATTACCCCATTGCAGAGTATGTTGTATTCCCTTGTGTCTCTATCCTGATCCCAACAGGACGGGTCAGATTGTAATCACTAACTGAAAAAGGTTTTTGCTAATTCATCAGGTACGAAAACTTTTGGCTTCCATTACTTGCCAAACATACCGAGTCTCGGTTTCCAGAAGGCCCTTTGGTTGTGCCTCTTGACTGTGAATGGATCTGGCATTTGTCATAGGCTCAGTCCGGTATGTTTTTGTTTTCTCAGTGGTTTTCATATTGTACTATTGAACTGAGTCCCACATTTGATTCCAAGATAACAGCAGGATAGGATTAAATAATCTCAGAATGAAATCTTTTACCAATGTTTGTTTTTAAATTTGCTAGCATTTGGGTGCAAAATGCAATGCGACAGTTTGATGAATGAAGAAGATTAGTTAAATTGAAGAAACTGATTTAACAGTTAATATCTCTTCATTTTCTATCTTTAACTAATATATATATATATATATATTTCTTTTTGTTTGTTTGGTATTCAGGAAAAGATTTTGTGTGTGAAGTTTGGCCATTAAGTGAGAGTGTTGAAAGATGGATCAATGATCTCCACTTTTAGCACCCTGTGTAGTGTCTTTTTTTCATTCTCCTTCTGTTAAATTTCTTCAAGAGGTTTTATTTTATTTTTTTGGTCTGCCTCCTGAATGTGTATTGAAGGCGCTATTCCTTTTTTTTTTTTCTTTCACTTTTAGAGGTAGTTATAGAATACTCTCAGAGCACTCATGTGGTATTAACAATTATACACCTTATAGATAGTAAAACATTAAAATGCACTAACAATTATATTTGTGCATCATTTTTAATTTTCTTTCTATAAGAAGCAAAAGGACATTTTTTTTGTTGCCATTCATACAAATTATTAATATAAAGTGAAATAGTTTGGGAATGAAATGAACAGGGGAGAAACATGGAAGGACATGTGTTTTTGTTGGCATTCATACAAATTATAAATATAAAGTGAAAAAAGAGTTTGGGAATGGGAATGAAAGTGGGGGAGAAACATTGACCTTTGTAAGGTTTTTAATTAGTTAATTTGTGTTCTTTCGGTTCTTAATTTGATAAATGACAATTATTGAAGACCTTCTTTTGTATTGTTATTTTTTTTTTTTAAAATTCTTTATTGTTTTCTTTTATTTTTCCCCTCCCTTCCCCTTCCATATGGTTCCACAAAATTCATATGTTGGTATATATTCACATACTATACATTTTATAGAAGAAATTAACTATTATTTAAAAATTATTTTTTATAATATTTTTAAAACTAATATTAAAAAATATTATCCTAAATGTCACATTGGAAACCATGTTAGCATTTGGTGTGTATGTAGCATTCTATGAAAAATACAATAATATATATAGCAATTTTCAATTTCGAAAATTGGTTAGGTTAGTTTGTAACGCCCTCAAAATAATACATGATCCCATCATTTAATAGTTCTATGTACATGACAGATAAATCAC